AATTTTCTATGATTTATTTTTATTTTTTTCCATATTTAGTATTTTTTTCCTTGTTTTTGATATTTTTCATTGATTTTGCTAGTTCATTGGTGCATGACAGGATCTTTGCATAACAAATTAATTGATTTAAACTCTAAAATTGAGAGAACTTGTCGTAGTAATCGTAAAAATCAAAAGCACCATAAAATTAGGGATAGTGTGGTTTCTAAAATCTTATCTAAATTGATTAATAGTATTATCAGTGATTCTAAATCTAATTTCAAGTCTACAATTAAGTTGAAAAACAAAACAACAAAAACCTCCCCCCACACTTAAAATCTACAATATCCTCAATATAGAACATAATCCAAAAGATGTATAGAAAAATGTAAATTAAAAGTGAAGAGAAGGGACACAATCTAATTGATTAAGTGCTATCTTGGAGGGAAAGTTCCTCCATAATGTGTGCCTTGAATCCATCATGAAAATGCTTTAATCGTGCCCATTAACTTTAAACTTTGCTTTAGTAGACTCTGTCATAATCTCTACTCCACCATAAGAAAATACTTTAGTAATTATAAAAGGGCCTTCTTATCTAGAATGAAGTTTTCCTAGCATAAGTTCGAATCTGGCATTATAAAGCAATACTTTTTGTTTTACTTTGAACTATTTCCTAACCATCAGCTCATCGTGCATCGACTTGGTCTTTTCCTTATAGATCCTTAAATTTTTATATGGTTTCAAGTGAAATGCTTTAAGCTCTTACAATTGATTTTTTCTTTGAACTTGTGGTTTAGCCAAATTCATATTGCATTGCTTTACTACCCAATAAACTTTATGCTCAATTGCCACAGGTAAATGACAAGCTTTCCCAAAAACAAGCAGATAAGGAGACATTCCTATCGAAGTCTTATAGGCAATCTTGTATGCCCATAATGCATCATCAAGTCTCTTACTTTAATCCTTCCTATTGAGTTGTACCATCTTCTCAAGAATTTGTTTTATCTCTCATTTAGAAACTTCAACTTGCTCATTAGTTTGGGGGTGATGAGGAATGGCCATCTTATGCACAACCACATACTTACCCAACAAACTCTGCATGCTTCAATTATGAAAATGGGTCCCTTTGTCATTGATAATAGCCTTTGGAATACCAAACCTACAAAAGATCTGTAACGTAACAAAATCTACAACAACAGCAGAGTCATCAGTTTTGGTGGCTTTAGCTTCTACGGTTCTACCCACTTAAAATCATAATCAACAGCTTGTAAAATATAAGCAAATTCAAATGAAATAGTAAAAAGTCCCATCAAATCAATATCCTACACATTAAATATTTCACAGAAAAGTAAAGGCTGTTGAGGCGTCTCATTTCTACGGAGATATTTTTTATATGTTGACACTATCATTTGACAACTACAAGGGCAAACTTCTGACAAGCCTCATTTCTTTGTCTAACGTCCAATCGAGGTGTTTTAGGTGTTTTCATAGATCTTTCTTCTAACTTTAGCTAATGGTACTAGTTTCATAATTAAGTTATTTTTTGATCAAAAATTGGACACTCTTTTCTCCAATCACTCCTTTTCACAATTCAAATACAACTTAGGTGCCCAAATTTTATTCCAAGTACCAAAAACCTAAATTACATCTTAGACCACACTCAATAGATTATAACAAATTTGTGCAATACACCATATTATACAATCAACACATCCAGCACATTTTCAATGTTCAACCCCTTAATCATAAAAATAAAAGGGGGAGCCTCAAATTCACAACCATCACAATCATTCAACATAAATCACCTTTTACTCACTTCTTAATTGCACTAATATTTTAACACTTTTTAGATTTTACAATTTAGAACATACACAACCTTTGGTCCAAAACACACAACTTAGCTTAATAATGATAAAGTGCAAGTAAGTAAACATGTATTGTCTTAGTTGGCAAATATCAAAATGAATTATACATATAATATTTAAAATAAATGAGGCCTACTATTTTAGGATAGAAATCTTAAGCCTTGGAACATTTCTCTCAATTTTATCTCGATGAGCTAGCTCCTATAATATTAAAAAAAAGGGTGAATATAACTATTCAATAACTAAGGTACGTTTGACTTATACTAATACATGTCAATTAATTTACATGCAAGTAGTAGTCTATTATTTCACTCATGTCATCCATATTCAAATTCTATTTTCACAATTTACAAATCATTTTCTCATATTCACAGTATCCATTTTCATAATTTGCAATATCATTTTCACAATTATGACATTAATCACATAATATCACATGTTTTTAATATAAGGGACATAATACAAACAACCATGCACCTTTTTTTACAATATGCATGATCACACCTTCTTTATATCCTCTTTATGCTTTTGATATGAAATTATGCATTGGGATCGCCCATATGATGAGACTACCCTAACCATTCATGGGTGAGAAGCTATCTGACTAAGGTTGCTTAACTCACTTGTGGTTATGGTTTCCCCTAAATCTTACACTGTAGGGTATCATTCTCTTAGGTTCTTTATCGAACAAGTGGAAACTATAACAAGTTCAAGTCCCTTATTACATAATGGGACAATCCTATTTATGACATTGATATCCAGGCAAGCCATCGAGTTTCAATGATAACTATGCTCCCACGTCACGTGATCATGCAAGCCATAAATGTAATATCACATATCATGCGAATTATGAAATTACTCACTATAAATGCATGCTTAGTGTCATTATTGTACTTACATCATACACGATCATTGCATAAACACATAACAAGTCATTAAACTCAACATCACATTTCACCATTAAACTCCTTACTATAAAAATTCATTAAACTCCACAAAATATTATATTATCAAACTCCACAAAACATTATATTATCAAACTCCACATTACAAGCACTTGTTGAACTCCACTTCACAAATATTTATTGAACTCCATATTACACACATTCGTTGACCTCCACTTTAAAAGTATTCTTTTCAAAACTTCCCCTCATTATGAAAGGGAGAATAAAGTTTCATACGCCGCACTTGCATTACAATATAATTTTACAATTAACAATATTAACTCACAATCAAATAATCAATTAATGCACAAAAATATAAAAATATTTTCCTTAAGTTACCTCAAATTTTTGAGAGATCAAAGGTTTAGCCCTTAAATATACACCTCCAAAGTTAATCCAAGCTTGAATGGTGCTAATAAATAATTAATCTACAATTGATCACATTAACAATCATTAATATCTTTATTAGGATAAATCCTAATTCTTAACCCTACACTTTCATAACTCCCAATATGATAGTCTCTCACTTTTAAACATATCTGTCAAGTTCATTAATTTTCATTAAGTCACATTAACTTTGTTGAACTTTCAAACAACCATTTATGACATTTTTTCAACTCTCATCCACCACATTAATGATGAATTTTTGGACATTAATGGCTCCAAACTATAAAAAACGCATTGAACTATAAATACTAGGTTTAAATAACCTAAATAACTTTCATTAACTTTATTTAAGCTAATGAGTTTGAACCTATAACCTTTATAGATTGAAAATCATCTTTTTTAATAAGCCCTAACTGCCCTATTCAAGAAAATGAAGAGGAAGGAAGTGAAGGACTTAAGGGATTTATCTTTAAGGTTTACAAGTCTCAAATTGCTCTTATTCCTTTGAACTTACAATGCCTTACTAGAGCTCTCTTGTTCCTCTTTGTTCCTTTTTTGTCTCTTTTTTGTGTCTAACGCAACTCTATTTCTACAGAATCACGGCTGTGCGCCGCGGTGCATGCACCACACACCGCCGCATATGGTACTAAGAAGCCTAATTTGTGTTTTGATGACTTGTGAGCTATGGCATGTGACACAGAGTCATTTTTTTTTATTTTTCTTTCATTTCAAGGTTTGAGTGCCTTAACTCCACTTCGAGCTTGATCTTATAGTTGAAATCATAATCCAAACACATCCATTTACTTTTTGTAACCACACACTACATTAATTTACTCAATTAACCTTATTTAACTCTACTTATTAGTGATTAATTTTTTAGGATATTATAAGAAAAACTTGAAAACAAAATAAGATTAGAGCTATGTGTCCTCCATTTATAAACACAAATATATTAATTAAATCAACTAAAAATATATAAAATAATAATAATTGAAAAATATTAGAGAATTTCAAAAAATATAAACATTCATATAATCTACTATATTAACAACAATTTTAATTAATTAATAGTATGTTTGGATTAATAAAAATTTAGATTAGGATTTGAATTTTAACCAAAATCCTTATTAGAATACACATAAATTTATAAATTTGGATTTGATTCAAATTCAAATCCATTTTAAATTATATTTTCTTTGTAGTTTGAATTTTTCTTTACACCTAACCCATTTAAAATTTTAATCACTTTAGATATTTTATTTTCTTTGCTTTTTTATTATTGATATTTTTATAACTCTTATATCTGTTTTAATGTTTTATTAATTAAAAATAAAAATAAAATTATTATTTTTAATTTTTAATTTTCATTTTAAATTTCAATTCATCTCTTCTTTGCATTTAAAATTTTTTAAATTAATTAAATTAATAATTTTAAATATATGAATTTTAAATCGAAGATTTGAAATGTAAATCTAAAATCTATGATCATAATTACTTACTAGAATATAATAAAATAAATTAAATTAAAAAAATTAAAATAAAAACGAACTCAATTACCTTTTCCCATCATTAATATATATTATAAATATAAAAATTACTATATCATTTAAAAATTTTATGAATTATAATTCTTAATTTCATAAATTAAATTACTTCTCTTTCTTATAAATATGTTCACTAATCTTTTTTTAATTATATTATTTTTACTTTTTTTTAATTTATTTCATTTTATTTTATTTTAAGAAACAAACCTGAACTATATCTATCAATTTAAACCGCCTCTAATTTTATTTATATTTTCCTTATTCAGTTTCAGAAATTCGTCTCTCCTCCTCCTTCTCGTGGCCCTATTGGCAATTTCTCCTCTTTGTTTTCCGTCCTCATCTTGCTGGGGAAATAGCTGTGTTACACAGTGCTGGTAGACCGGCACTGTCTTCCTCAGCTCCACATTCCATAACTTATCTTTGTGGCCCCACTTCACCTTTACTTTCTACTTCCCTATTCTCTTCAAAAGCTATGAAACTGTTCCTAGAAAGCCTTTCTTTGGTAGCTTCAGATCCTTTCCCTGTGCCCTTTCGGGTAAAAAGATGAACAAATTCAAGTGCTTCTTTGTCTTCTTCTTGTTCTCCTAGAATACAGAATCATCACAACATTTTTTGCTTCTTTTGAATTCAATGGCCGTTGTTTCTTTCTCTTTTCGACCTTATCTTCATCCCTCCTCTGCTTGTTCTTCTTCTTCTTCTTCGTCGTCGTCGTCGTCGTCTTATTTGTGTGGTGGTGTCCATCTTCGGACCCATAAGAACTTCATTTCTATTCATTCACCTTCTTATTTTTCTTCTTCGACATTAAATAATAAGTCCTCCTCGAGGACCTTCCGAACGGCGATTGCTGCTTCTGGCGACTATTATGCTACTCTTGGAGTCTCCAAATCCGCGACTAACAAGGAGATTAAGGCGGCTTATCGAAAGTTAGCTCGTCAGGTATAAAACCTTCATTGAGGGATTTCGGATTATTTATTTATCTTTGATCCTCTTAATGATTTGCTCTTGCTGATGAACATTGTCTAAATTTTGTTAGTTGTTAGAACTAGAGTTTCGAGCCTAAACTCAAGTCTTCTTGCGCTAATTTTTAATTTCTTGTCCTCTCCTTAGTATCATCCTGATGTGAACAAGGAACCTGGAGCTATTGACAAGTTCAAGGAAATTAGTGCTGCATATGAGGTATGCATGGACAGTACAGTGTTGATTGTTGGAGTTATTCAATGCCTCTTTCAATTTTTAAGCACCTATATCATCATGCGATTTATAAGCCATCATAAGTGATGCTTATTTTAAACTCCTTGTAATGCACTGGAACAACCTGTATGGCTCTTTACTAAAATGGCATGCATTCAACAACACGTTCAGAAGCAATTCATTATTTGATGAGAAAGTATTAGGCGTCTACGATGTTTTATCTTTGGTAGGTGTACTGGTGTAACTAATCATCACATGGTACAAACAGGTGTTAATTATTCTAAATGTGGTGTTCAGTAACTGCATTTAAAATGCCCCTGGGCTCAAGGGGCAGGACGTTGATGCCCAGGATGATTCAGTAATTTATAGTTTATGAAATTGAATTTGATACATGTACCGCTCTATTAGTTCTCAAAGCTGATTTACTTGAAATGTGAAAGATTCTACTGGCTAAGTGTGATGACTCGACTTTGTGTTTGAAAAACTTTCCCCCATGGGATGAAATTTTTTCTTTTCTAATCTTCAACTGATAGAAAGGGGTGAAAAGAAAACCCCTTTTTCTTATTAAACATCAATATTACACAGTTTACGTTAATCTCCATGCTCTTAAATTGCCCATAAATTATATTCATACTTTCATTGTTCTGTCCTTGTCTTTTGCTACTCCCCATTGGCATGTCAATCCTTTTGAAGAACATGTTATAAAGCCTGGACCAAAGAGGCATTCCCATCAAAACATTGGTGGCTAGAGTCTGATTCGCACATTTCTTGTTGGATTTTTCAAGTGATATAGATGTGCAATAGCTGGTGAACGTTTTGAAAAATGGCTGCATTATATCAGAACAAAGCCATGAATGTGTGCCTTAAAATGCCATTGGATTTAGAAACCCCCCCCCCCAAAAAAAATGTTTTGAGTTTTATTGTCCTTTCAATTCTGAAGTACAACACTGTCAGGTGCTATCAGATGATAAAAAGAGGGCTTTGTATGATCAATATGGAGAGGCTGGAGTTAAGAGTACGGTAGGAGGAGCATCAAATGCTTATACGGTATTCACATGACTTTTCATTTTCATTTTTTATTTTTTTGGTTTTTCAATGTTAAATTTGTAATGATTAGCTGGTGGTACATGCCTAAGGTTGATCGAACCTTTTCTTTTTTGAGGAATTTTCCATTGACATTCCTGTATGCATGTTGTCTTCTTTGTGGGCCCAAATTGAAATACATGCCAAATGACACATCTTTCCCCCTAGATTTTCTTCTTCTATGAAATTTATAATGAACTGACTTTGTTCTTGCAGGCCAATCCATTTGATTTGTTTGAGACATTTTTTGGGCCAAGTATGGGTGGCTTTGCTGGCATGGATCCAACTGGATTTGGAACACGTCGCCGTAGTACTGTTACTAAGGGTGAAGACATTCGGTAAGTCATGCAGTGAGTTGGATGAGTGTGTTAGGTGAATTCTGTCCCCCATAAAAAATAAAAAAAATTCAGTAGTTGCTTCAAACATATCTTGAGACACTTTTTATTTATTGCTAATTTATTCTTCAATCCAAGACTCGTTATGGTTGCTGCATTGTGGGCGTTTTAGCCCCACTTTCATTTTATATATTGCTAGTTTATGTCTTTCATTACACATTGCAAATAGGGCACTCTGATTGCATGTAAAAAATAAAGCTGATTATCATGTTTAATATATATCTATTCGTCTCCCTTCCTTAATGTGTCACTGTATGGGTTGGGGAGGAGTTTGGTGTAAGGAAGGTGATTAAATTGGAGAAAATTATAAGGTGAGACTCAAAGGCTTTTAGTAATGATTCTCACATGCTAAAAATGGAAATGATAATTGTTTTTTAAGGATTATTTCTTGTGGAAAGTACTCATCAATAAGCCTCTGAAATATCTGCGGTTTAAATGATTGATTATAGTGTTAAGACCAAAAAGTCCTTAATCAAAGTTTGTAGTTGGAATGGTGAACTTATCAGAATTTCTGGCTAGATGTACATGTTTATATATGCATGAAGATTAGTGATGAGTATTGAGCATATTTTTCTTTGCTCTCTAAGCTAAACTAAACGCAAATGCTATCTTTTTTATTCTATTTAATATTTTGAATTGATTTCTTGTAAATTTTTATGATTAGAGGATCACTTGTGATTTGATAGCTGAGAGTATCTAGGATTAAATTGGGAGGGGGTATTGTAAAAAGTTAACGTGCTTATTACTTCATTTATATAATACTCCCTCCATTTGATATTATAAGACTTTTTTTTTTTTTCAAAGTCTCATGTTAAAAAATATAAGGCATTTTGAGTCTTTTAAGGTGTAATTAATAAGGTTTTTTCAAAAATATTCTTAATTATGGGATGTAATTAATAAGGTTTTCTAATTAAGATACACTATTAAATAAGGGTAAATATGAAAAGAGTGTATAATTTTGAAGACAATTAACTAACTCATTAGATAGTGTAATTTGATACAAAGTGCCTTATAACACTGAATAGAGGGAGTAAGCAAGTGTCATTAAACTATCATCAGTATGACATTAAATTCCATTAATTAATGTGATAAATCACGGTATATATGCCTTGTCAGTCTTTCCAACAAAAAGAAATAACTGATGGAGTAAAATTTACTCACATATGATATAAGATGTTACTTAGATTATAACAACAACAAAAAACTTTATCCTACTAGGTGGGGTTAGCTACATAGATTATATGATGCCATTGTGATATATCGTTTATTAAGTTTTTAAAAATATTGTTAATTAAAAGGTTTCGCTCAACAACCTTCAAAATGTTACTTATATTAAATAACTTAAAATCACAATACCTAGATATATAGCTAAAATGAAAAAAAAATACAATTATTTACCTTGATCAATGCTTCCAATTTTATTGCCCCCTAATCTATAAAAATTTATAGCTGACCATCCAATCTTTTTGAAATATATCACTGCTGGATTCACCTTTGGTTGCTTGTAAGATGCTTTTTTGCCAATTTCTTTTTCTTTGACATGATTAATGCTACTACTATAAGAGCGTGGCATTTTGAATTGACTTCCTATTCCATGTCAACAGTTATGATCTTTTGTTGCAATTTTCTGAGGCAATTTTTGGAGCTGAAAAGGAATTTGAGCTTTCCCATTTGGAAAAATGTGAAGCTTGTAACGGTACTGGAGCAAAGATTGGCTCCAAGATGAGAATATGTTCGACTTGTGGTGGGAGGGGTCAGGTGATGAGGACTGAACAAACACCTTTTGGTTTGTTCTCACAGGTAAGTTGATTTTTTCTTGATGGATCTGGATGCAAAACTTCCTTTTATGTCTAGTGCTAAAGTGAAGAAGAAAGAAATAATAATTCTTCATATGTGGTGCCCAGACTGGAGCCTTAATTCTACTATCAAGGTCTGTCGGTGTAATGGGTTGGTCATTCATTGGCTCCTGGGAAAGAATCTCATATGCTGCAAATTGTCTCTGTCTGGTCAATTGAAGTCATTGAGTCTTTCAATATTATATTTTGTCCTGAATTTTTCTCTCCCTATTTTCTCAATACATCCTTCAACTGCATATATTGCTTCATCCTCATCTACTCAATTTATTACATGAGATGCATATGCTGTTCCATATTGTTTGCGGATGTAGCCTTACACTTACACTTTCCATTGCTTGAAATTAATATCGTTTGTTTTATCTCTCCATTAGGTTTCAGTATGTCCAAACTGTGGAGGCGTTGGTGAAGTCATATCTGAATTCTGTCGTAAATGTAATAGTGAAGGACGTATTCGGGTTAAGAAAAATATTAAAGTGAAAGTTCCTCCAGGGGTGAGCTCGGGCAGCATTCTGAGAGTTGCTGGGGAGGGTGATGCTGGACCTCGAGCGTATGTTGTTTCTTTATTTACACGTGATCATTGAGCCTCATTATTACAATCTTTGGGCAAATGGTTTGATCGACTGTAGATCTCATTTTTTAAACGTTTCACTTTTTGGTTATAGCTGTAGAATGGGAATGAAAAACAATGTTTTTCTATTCATCAAATTTTTTTACGTGGTAAATTACCTGAGTTATTTGTGTTTGTAAGTTCAGATGATATTATTACCTAAGCAAATGATATAGAAGCAGCTGCTGGTCTTGTCATTGCAGGGGTCCTCCTGGAGATCTATTTGTGTATCTTGAAGTGGAAGAGATTCCGGGAATTCAAAGAGATGGCATTAATCTCTCTTCAACGATAACAATCAGTTATCTAGATGCCATACTAGGTGTTGTTATCAAGGTAAATGGTTTTTGTCAGTAGTCATGTTTTTTTATTGCATGTATTTTTCTTCTAACATCATGTCTTCACGCTGGAATTGTAGTAATATATCTATCTGTGGATTTAATGAACAACTGCCCTGCCCTCCTTGGGAAGGAAACTAGGACATGATAGAGCTATATGATTGAGTTGATTCAACTTTTCCATTATATGTTGGTCCTTAATTGTATTCATCAGATCGTTGCTTGATAAACCTAATAGATGTCCATTTTTTTGTATTGGGACTTGAGCCTTTTGTGGACACAGTTTTCTGAGATATTTAGGTGTTTATAGATTACTTTCTATTTGATTGCTGTGTATTTTCTGTTTTCTTTGGGTGTGCTGAAGCATTACCTTGTGCCATCCATCTATTAATTGAATAATAGCCACTGTACAGGTAAATACAGTTGAAGGCATTTCTGAACTACAAATACCCCCTGGTACCCAACCTGGAGATGTCATTGTCCTTCAAAGGAAAGGCGCACCAAAATTAAACAAACCATCAATACGTGGTGACCACTTATTTACAGTTAAAGTTACAATACCAAAACGTATCAGGTAATATATAATTTTAAAAATTTCTTGTCTTTCTGTCTAAATGTGTGTGTTTATGGGTGTGCTTGCTTTTATGTATTTTCCTATTTCCTTCTCTTTGTGAATCTATATCGGAAATTTATACAAAATTGCCTCTGCATCTTCAGTTTAAAGGAGCGTGAGTTGCTTGAAGAACTTGCTTCACGAGGCAGCAAAACAAGTAGCCGTTCAAAACCACGTCCTAGCATTCGCTCTTCAAGTAGGTGGTTTATTATTTGGAACTTCTATAATGTATTTTTTTGCCCAACAGGAACGAAATTATTATCATTTGATATCTTACTTGAATTTATAAAAAAATGGATGTCAATTGGACTGGTCCTTTCACTGCGTTCACTAGTTGCAATAGAGAGGAAGTCTTAGACTGCATATATTTGAACTGTGAAACAATGATCTTTACTCTCTGCAGAGGGAAGGGCTGAAGACCCTGTATTTCAAAGTGCTGAAAGTCCAACAGTGGTTGAAGAAAAAACTGAACGGTCAGAAGACCAAGATGACATATGGAAGAAATTAAAGAATTTTGCTGGGTAATAGATTGTTTTGAAACTGCACGTCCAACTTCATTACTGACTATGCTGACCAATTGTTTTCCTCTTTTAAAGCAAGTTACAGAAAGAAGGCTATTTAGCCAGCAAAATTTGTGGCATAAATTCCCAAAAGGATTCAAATTTTACTTTTTCTTAAATAGGTCGAATATCTTTGAGTTGACTAGAAAGTACTTTTGGAATTTCAGGTCCGTCGCAAATGGAGCTCTGAAGTGGCTAGAAGATAACCTGAAGTAGTACTCCCATCCCATGGGTTTTAACGATTGAGGCTAGATTTTGATTCTCATTATTCCTACAACTGCTGGAAGTTCAAGTGCTATGGGCTACATTTCTCTCAGATGCTATTGGTGGGAATTTGTTAGCATTGCGCAGCAGAAACCAACAGTTTCTCTTGCGTGTTCTTTCATTTGTTTCACTTGTAAACTTTGACACGAGTCTGCTCACACAGTAGTACTTGTTCGAGGAAGGTTATAAGGTAGGAATAACTCTTCAAATGTTATTCCATTAGCAGATTTCTCTAGAAAAAAAAAAAAATTAGTGTTACATTTTGATAGAAGTCACCAATAATGTTTGACACGTCATTCATCAATCATTGACACACAGCTCTAGAAACTTTCACAAGTGAAAATAAATGCTTTACATTTCTTTGGGAAATCATCAACAATGTGGTTTTGATCTAGGACTGCTTGCGCATCAGTCTTTTTTTGTTAGGAAAAAAAAAAAATAGAAAAGTTGATATGACTTCTTGTAGTGGATTTGAATGGAGTTTTCACGTTTTATGAATAATTAAGCTTGTGATAGATTATTTTTACGCACGCGCGCATACACACACGCGCATATTGATAAGATAACAGATTGCTTTTATAGTTTTGGAGTAAAATAATCTAACCATTGTTTTTAAATCTTAATTACATGAATCTCCCAGTCTAATTTAAAAGCGTATATTTAAGTCCATATCATTAAATCATTAACACTGCTAAAGAATGTTTTAAAAATATTTTAAAATATATATTTTAATTGGAAAATATATTAAAACAAATCTTACTGATTTACTTCTCATCATGCTAGATCTATAATTTATCTTTTGATAGTTTGTTTAATATTTACTAGTGAATTTACAAAAAAAAAATTAACTAATTTTTACTTAAAGAAAAGAATGACATGAACGAAATTGTGTAGCTTTTTGACAAATAAACATTTAATGAAATGTATTTAAAAATTTTAAATTACAAAATTGATATATTAATATTGGATTTGTATTCTTAATATATCTTTCCTTAATACATCTCTTCATATTCGATCTTATTTATTCATTTAATGATTTATTTAATTTAATGGTCATATATTTATTATTATTATTATTATTTAATGCTTTTAAAAATAAGATCATAGTATTTATTTATGATATTAAATGACTAGTATATTTAGTTTAATATTGCAATTAGCAATTTTACAACATGAAACTGAATAAATAATTAAATAGATGTATGAGCTAATTCAATTTCTTGAGCTAGTTGAATTGAGTACCTCTTGATATAGTTGGCAGCATTTAATATTAAATAATTATCACTAAAAGGAAAAACAACTCAACTCAAATAAAATTTAAAAAATACCCGTCATTTTCAAAAGAAAGCTCGCCTTATTTTTATTAAAGTAATCTATAGCATTTCAGAAAATCCATTATGTATACAATCTATTAAATTTTTCACTCACTAAAACCATGAAAAATAATTCTAAAAAGAAATATTTTTTAAATTAATAAAATGTTTATTATATAATATGAAAATTAATCAAAAATTGTCTTTCTGGTTTCACCAACACATTAGCACACTCCCAAGAATTTTATAAAAAAATTTAGTATTTTTATGGTACTGTTTATTAAGATTAAAAAAGGTAATTTTTACCTAGCTTAAAAAATTTATTGGAACATATTTATTTTATAAATATTTTAAAAAGCAGATATTATTTTATATTCAGTTACAAAAATAAAAAGTGATTATTATTTAATTATTTTTAAATATCTTTGTGGATCCCTGTTCATAAGAAAATACTTTATTATTTAATTATTTTAAAATGTTATAATATGTTTGATCGCTCTCGCAAGTGTATGAGATCACAGTAATAAATTACCCAGAGTATTCTAGGTGTCAAACCTACAGGGAAGTTACACTTTTACTAATTTAAATAATTAATAGTTTAAGGAAAATAGATAAAATGGATAAATTTAATAAAAATATAAGGAATAAAAATAAATCAAGAAAATAATGATGATAAAAACGCAATCATTTGAAGCGTTGGGTTTAGGATTCACTCTATAGGTTGCTAGTTTTTACCCTTGAGTTGACTCGAATTAATTATAGTGACAATTATTCTAAAGTGTCCTAATATTCTTTCGAATTATTAGTCCCTTTTTAATTAGTGTCGAATTCGTTCTTACAATACCCAAGCAACTAATTAAACCGTGAAGCTATAGTTTAAGTTACCATAAATTTTTAGAACTATCCCTAGCCTAGTCATTTATGTTTATTTCTCTAGATCTAAGTTCTTTTTCACCTCCCAGTCCATCAAGATTACCTATAAATTTAATTAAATAGTAGCCAGTTATTAAATCAATATAAAGAACAAGAGAAATAAATATAATTGGGACAAAAAAAAACTATTCATAAATATAAATTCAAGGAGTCAAAACAAAAGAAATAAAAAACTAACTCCTCAATTGCGTTGTATCCTTACCCCAACTGGGTAATTTAGAAACACATAATAAAATTAAATAAAATCACTCTAAAATTCTCAATCATAAAAAATGATCACAGAGAAAATTAAGGAGTAGAAAAGAAATAATTATAATTTATGAAACTCCTCAATGATCTCGCTTTCAACCTTCATAATACTTCTACGAGCTCTAAATATCTCAGAAAAATTCTTGAGGTACTCAGATAAGTGATTGGATGCCTTCTCTCTTGATGGAGGGAGTATATATAGTTAAAGTGGAGGTTGCTTTTTTTGTTTCTTGTCGATATGAGACTTTGATATATATATATATATATATATATTTTTTTTTCTCGTTTCCTTCTTTTCTTCTATTTGGTTTATTCTTTTTCTCTGCAAAATATAAAGATAAAAAGATATGAGTGTATTTTGTATTAAAATTTCTTTTTATCTTATAATTAAGTGATGAGGGAAAAATATATAAATATCAATTAAATAGATATAAAATCTTAATAAGTATAATCAAATTCAAACTAAAATCTATACCTCTTTAATTATAAAATATGCACTTATCAATGTTTTCATATTTGTATGGCATTCTCACTTATATATCACTTTCAAAAACTATTTAAAATAGCTTCTCAGAAATCTATTTTTTTATAATTGAATTATTTTCAAAATTTAAATAAATATAGTAAAATTTTACAAAATATATTTAAAAAAATGAATGATAACGACTATGCCTTTATATATCCGTACTCTAATTTTGAATGCGTTAGTTTGATTCAAGCTCGACTTGATCTTTGTCAAGCTCCAGTGTCCAAATCCTGATGCTACAATTCTTTTCCCAGACAAATATCAAACCACAAATTCATCCGACAATTTGATTCAAGCCTCTGCTCCTTCTTTAAATTGCTGAGATCAATTCATTGGCCACGTCAATACCAAACCAAATTTCATAAAGCAATTTTAGTTGATCCTTCTGTTCCTTCTTCAAGCAGCCAACATGGTTCTAGCACAGTTGGGAGGGAGCATATCGCGTGCTCTCCAGCAAATGAGCAATGCAACCATAATCGATGAGAAGGTCTTGAACGAATGCCTTAATGAGATCACTCGAGCTCTTCTTCAGGCTGATGTTCAATTCAAGCTCGTTCGAGACATGCAGACCAACATCAAGAAAATTGTCAGTCTCGACAATCTCGCTGCAGACCACAGCAAACGCAAAATCATCCAACAAGTATGATATTTGATAAATACTGGATACGGGTGTGAATATTTTTGTTTGATAACCGGATATTATGGTCAAGTAAAAGACGAAATTTTAAAAATTTTATGGGGTATTTCCTTCATTCCTTTTTATAATTTTTCCTGGACACTGCAAACATATCACATTGGTTTTCAAAAGTTCTGCGAGGGGGGAAATACTTGGTTATTTTGAATGTTGCATATGGTATCAATTCTGCTTTGAATTTTGGTTGTATTCATCGTGGAGCTGCTCTTTCTTTTTTCTTTTTTCTTTTTCACCTTTTTCTATGTTTATTTTCAATTGTTATCTTGCATTGCTGTGATATCTTGAAATATCAAGGTTGAGCGTGACATTTTAAAATATTTTTAATATCAACATATTATTATATCTTATCACTAGGTTCTATGTGATCGATAGTGAACTCCTTTGGTTCCAGGCCGTGTTTGATGAACTTTGTAAAATGCTGGATCCTGGGAAGCCCTCTTTCACTCCAAAAAGGGCGAAACAAGGGTTGTTATGTTTCTTGGTTTACAAGGCTTGTTGCTTGTTCGTCGATAAGTTTACCCAGTGTGGATTATATGAAGTTTTTGGTTTCCAGTTGATTCAAATGATTAGGGGTGCAAATCAACCACTTTGATGTTGAATTTTAGATATTATCTAATCGTTGTCCTGAGTCCTAAGGCTTTTCCTGGGTTTTGCTTGGTCCTCCTTTATTATAAAACAGAATACCTTTTTACACTTATTTTAAGTAAGCTTATTTATTTCCAAAACGGGTTCAGGATCTGGAAAAACTACAACTTGTACAAAATATGCATTTTATTATCAGAAGAAAGGCTGGAAACCTGCACTAGTATGTGCTGATACATTCAGGCTTGGTTGTCACGATCTGTGATTTTTCATGAGGTTAAAGTGATCCAGAACGCTCTAGAATCTTTCAGAAGGCTCCCGGTTAACCTTAAGAGAGCTAGAGTGTATAAGAATATTCTAAAAAAATTTACACAACTCTAGCCTCAATATTTTAATATTGTCTCTAGATATTTCCATATAAATATTTAGATATTTGTTGTAAATATCTAGAAGAGAATTCTAGACAATCGATTATAGCTATAGGATCAATTCAATCTCCACCGTTCATTAAAGAGGTGGGAATTTTCTAGATTCAAGGGAAGGCCTATAAATACCATCTCCCTCCTCATTGGTAACTGTCTTTGAGTTCTCAAGAAATATAACTTTTACATTCTCTAAACTCTCTTAACTATCCTTTGCTTTCAAGTTTTCTTTTTTTCTCAACTTAACCAAGCATCCTCATTCTTGACAAATCAGGTTTACTTAGCATCTTTTAGTGAAGAGTGTTTAAGTGCTGTACGGGTTGAAAGACTAGCCCGGTAACATGGTGCTTTTGATCAATTGAAGCAAAATGCAACGAAAGCTAAGATCCCTTTTTATGGAAGGTACTTGTTGGCATGATTATTTATGGAATGTGAGTGTAGAATCTAGTACTGTTGCTTCACCAATACAAATGCAATTGTAGAGAGAGAGAGAGAAAGAGTCATATCATACTGAAGATTAATGCTACATGACTAAGTGTGCTGCATACATATCATTTGAGGACATCGTCAAATTTATTCATACTTAAGAACATTCTCAATTATATTTCTATATAAATTGTTTCTTCGCTGTTTATCCCTCTCTCTCTCTCTCTCTCTCTCAATTGAGGAAATTGTGTTGACCTAATTTCCAAGAGGTCTTGCTGATTCTTTCTGGAGTGCAATATCATCAGCATTAA